CTTTCTTGGTTCGACTGCCATACTATAAGCAAGTTAGCTCATAGGATTTAAATTTAAATATTTTGTTGTTTGTATGTGCATTGTTTTTTAGTTTAAACCTTTTATATCTTATTTTGTTTACTTATTATTCATTTAGTATACATTCTATTTTATGAAAGCAATATTGTAATACTTATTTAATTTAATTAAATTCAATTTGAAATTTTATATTTATTTCTAGACATATTTTCTGATTAATTACGTCCATCTGTATATAGAAACTAAATAAACTAATTACAAATTTAACATAAACATTTTAAAATAGTTCAATTAGCTACTTCAATTCAGTATTAAATGACAATGTATTTCTATTTACGACCTTTTCAATCTTAAAGTAGGTATTTATGTAGTGATTATGGTTGGCAAAGAAATCGTTCACTTCCGTCGACCTCAGCCGATGGCAACTAAAGCAAAGTGCTTCCACTTGCGGTCACGCAATGGATAAGATGCTACTAACTCTTAGATAAACAGGTTTTAAAATTGTGAGTGTGCTCCTATAGCATACTGCTATAGCCAGATATTTTTAGTAAGATCGGTAAATGGGTCTATTGAAACGCCATTTCCTTTAAAACTAAAATATCATAGTGCCTAAATACATAACTTATATGTGTGGTTATTTGTAACATGCTAATGTTTTCGTATTTTAAAATGATCCCATTAACATAGATTTTGCGAATAAACTTATATATATATATATACCTACCCACATACATTATATTTATAGTGAAACCAATGTTCTGCAGATAGACAATTAATCCACGAATTTAACTAGTAACCCTCTGGGCTAGATTCTGTACGCACAAGTGTCACATGACAAAGCGACCCCTCCGTTTGTTGAGATCGACGTGATCAAAAAACCGGGTTGGGAATCTATATTGAAGAGGGTACACAATCGTACACCCTGTTTTGTTAGTTTCATTCGCATATTCATTTATATATTATACCTACTATTTATAATATTAATAGATAGATACTCTGTAATGTTTTTTCCTAAATATAAAACGGTCTTCTTTATGCTTATTTATAAATGAAATTTATAAATTTATTTAGGTAGTTAGTCTATTATCTAACTGCAGGACAATCTCTTCTTCGAAGTTACAAGCAGGTAATTCCCTAAACTACATTTTTTAAATTATCTAGTTCTAAAATTGTCTACGTAATTTTCAATAATCACATTTATGTAGTATATACCTACTTATTATAATACTGATAATTTTGCGAAATTTTTGTTTTATAGACCATTATTAACTAAATTTATAATAACTTTGATTTCAATCTTTAAGAAATTTATTTTAATATGGTCCTTAGAGTAAAGATTACGCTATTTATTAAACTGTAATTTTAATTTTAGAGAGATTTGATTTTGACGAGGAATGGCACCTCAGAATCGACATCACTATAACCTTATAATCTTTTCACGTAAGCGATTTATAATTTGATCTAAGTTACCTACCTACTTATAAACACTAAAATTATCTTGTAATTTGTACTAAATGTTTTAATAATAAAAATAATTCATGTTAGTATGTATTCCAATGTTTAATAAATGTCGCCAAAAAATGTGTAGACTTATGTGTTTGGCAATTTACTGGTAGTATAGAGAATTCACGTGTCTATCGTTACTCAGTAGCTATTAAACATTGTGTGACATATTATTGTGTAATAAAAAATGTATCGTCTGGGGGCTCACTTGGTGTGTCCCAATCGGGCCATGTGCGCGCGCTCCCACGCGGAGTAGGCGCACAAGTGTGCGCCAGCGCCACACAAAATACATACTACCAACTCGAATCATTACTTCCCATGTGTGAGTAAGCTACTACTTCCTGGTACAACGCGAGAGACGCTTTATTTAAATTCTTCCTTTGTGTGCGTACGCAATATTATTTATATTCAGCTACCTCTACTCGCGGCTGTGGATGGTACACGAATATTATTACTTTAATGACAAGTGTGTGTGTATCGAGTCTCTTTAATCTCTATTGTACTTCCTGATTATATGTCAGTGTGTGTGAGCCACTTGTTCGAATGCTAGGGCGGCTTTATCTCAGTGAGGGACGGAGTGCAGCGTCCGATTACTTTAGGGAAGAATAATATTTCATCGATAACTTGAGTATATTTTTCTCGCGTCGTATTCTTCGGCTATTTACGAGTAATATTTAATTTCTTATCGTCGTCAGATTCTTGAGTTAGACCTTTACATAGGTTATATCCATTTATGGATACACAAACAAGAAATAACATTTAGCCAGTTAGATTACCACAAACCAAACAAAGAACTTATGTTTACATTCTCATTGGAAACAGGAAGCATAAAGTTCGTTGTAACATGTCTCGAGCGCTTACGGTTCTTGGTATGAAACAATACCGGTTCCGCTATATTTGCAAAACTGTAGCAGTTTCAGGAAGTGACCACACTTGATTGATTTGTCGTATGTACAACTTCCATGAGAATAATAAGTACATTAAATTTAATAGATATTAATAATTATATTATTTCAAACAGAAATATACTTAAATACGAATATACCATGTATCACCAGATGATGAAACTGTGGTTATATTTTCTACTCCTTTGTTCCTCATGTCAATCCCTATAATTTGAAATTATCAAAGTAATATAAGTTAATAATCTATACTTTATTGTACACAAACATAGTGATAAAATATCTATTCTGGTTTGAAACAGTAAGTAGATACGTACTATTAAAAATATTGAATTTTATTTATCGATATCGATAACTTTAATATAGTTCTGCATTAAAATCTCCATGAGGCCGCAAGTGGACAGATGCGCCTCACAGCAAGCAGTTTGCACAATTCGGAAGGGTCCCATTTCAATCCGGGAGGGAACCATGAATTTTCACTGCTAAAACCCTTGTCGCCCACATCTGTCGTATATATTTGGTGTATAAGATACAACGTCATTAATTGATTTTATGAAGTAATGGCAAAGGGTTAGAACAAATTTGAAAACCTAATATACAGGCATTACTACCTAAACACAAAATTTGAACTAGTTAGTACAATTTTATTATATTATGCAGCACGTTAATACCGGCCATATATACCAGCTAGGGGGAAAGGGATTTTTAGTAACAGTGATGTAACAACTTCATTGCAAACAATATACTCCATCACGTCGACCTCCACGCAGTTCCCCCTGAAAACTATCTTGGTTAATTCTTGTAGAATTTATCACGACGATGTAATTGACCTGCTTTCTTTTTCACCTATCTTTTCTTACTGGTGTCTCGCCAGCACACAGCGATAGCGCCAGCGAGGGTACCATTACATTTTCACGCATTAAACATACTCGTATACCGGCTACTATTTATTAATCGCTTTGATCAGTTTGTATAGTTTGAACTGTAAGAATAAATTGTATGAAGTACATAGCTCATGATAATTAGATAGGCTAATTAGCATGAGCAGATTTGTGGTCCGGTCAGTTGTTTGTTTACATTATTAACTTCTATTGAAATTTTACGATAGATTTTTGTATTAAAATTTACATTATTACAACGTACATTGTACCTCAATATCTACGTATTTTCAAACGACTTCAAAAAGAAGGAGGTTGTCAATTCCGTTGTATTGAATTTTATGTTTGTTGCCTCGTAACTCCATCAGTTGTAAACAGTTTGGTCCCATAGAAATATTACCAAAATCGGTTCAGTAATTTAGTTGTTAAATCAAAATAACTGGTTTTGGCGCAATTGAAGTTGGTTTTTTTGTGTAAAAAATTTAATAGAATTATAAGTTAGTAACTTAAGATCAAGTGTATAATATGTGCTTAAGTAAATTTCCTGTTGTAGTCGGTAAAGGGAGTAGTTGAAGTTGTTACATACGTACACATTATACATACGAAATTAATAACATTGTATCGTAGTTTTAGTATACGATAGTTTTTTGAATCCTATAGTTGTTAAAATATTATTACTTAAAAAGCGATAGCGACATTGAAGACTGTAACCGAGACAGAATTTGACTACAAAATCGTAACAGGGATAGATCAGAGAGCCTACCATGAAATGTTTTCCGGAATATCGGAGCCAAACGAAACCAAATTTGATGTTAAAATTACATAATACATGCCGTTTGGAAATATTAAAAATGTTAAAATATCGTTCCTTTGGACTTTTATGATAGGATGTATGACGAACAAAATGTTAAACTCCTTTTATTAATCCAATTTTGGTATAAACAAAAACATGAAATTGAGTCCGAAATTTCGGAATTTCATCTCATGGTAGACCCGCTGATACAAATTGCTCAATTAAGTATATTGTGTTATTTCGTGGATATCACATTTTACAAGTTTATTTTAATGTTTAGGCTCCTAGATATAATATAGTCGCTTTAAAAATTTTATACGGATTTTCTTAAATGTAATTGTTAAGTCCTGTCCGTCTATTTAATTATTATTATATTATATAGGTATATCCAGATTCAATGTCTATTTAATATGTTTACCTCCATAAATATTTCACCCGAGGCTCTTCAACTCACCTTGCATCGACGACCGTGAGAAGATGTACTACGTTTAACCCTTCATTATAGGATCTCACAGGTGTAAATATTATCTTGTTGGGGCCCCGCCTTCCGACCCTTGCAACAGGTAGTAGGTAATCTTCAATGCTTACGGAATACATTTCTGGAAGTATTTTCTAATAATACATTTGCAGGTACATATTACAGAACAGGAGTTCTAATTTTTAAAATTTGTCCTACTACTATATTTTTATTCCATCTTTTCTTCAATTATGTACATACTTTGCTAACAAGCCCAAGAGTGGATAGTAGAAAATAAATGGTTTGAAAATATAAACAAAAATACGATAGATAAGCAACCTTTTGCTTACATATCTACACAATTTTTATCTATAAAATACATTGTCATTTCCTTTATAGATAGTACTATGGTATGTACCTATATTCAATAGATATCATTGTGTAGCTTAAGCAACACGTCGATTTAATTTTGCCAAAACGATCATGTTTAAATTTTAATACCAATCTTTTTTTGTTTATTTTTTAACAATCTTACTAATTTCATGTAATATTTTTAACAGTCATAAAGTACCTATAAATTGCAACGTAATATCACTTCGTCTATGGTTTAAATTTTGTATGTATATTAATCATTGTAAACTTAACTGGCTTAGAGTCTTTGGTATTGCGCAGTCTAAATTAGACCTAGTTAACTCATAACTGAATTGCTACATGATGAATACTACAATAAAATTAGTAGGTTACCTTTAGACCTTCTAAATGTGTGATACAATATAATTAATCAGTCCAAAACTATTTTGAACAGGAACTAGCTAGTTGTAAGGTAAGTATCTAAACAATTAAATAAAAATCAGTAGCGTTAACGAGTCGCCAAGGGATAGAACAAAAGCAAGAACTGATTTATTACCCATTATATGAAATAATGGCCCTTTCCGGTTAGCGTTATCAGTAATAATTGATTTTCCTTGGAAGTCGTTAGTATCTACTGTTTTGTAGATGTCAATAATTAATAATTCATTTATCACATTTTAAATAAAGATAACATTTAAACATTTTAATAATAATTAAGATTTTGTTTCACAAAAAAGGCTATAATTGGAGCAAAATTATTATTTTTTATTTAAAAACTAAATTAATGAATCAAATTTGATTAAAATTCTATGCGACTAATTTGTGGGTATATATTTTCAGATAAAAATAAATTCAAGATCCAAATTGGTTTATAAATGACGGAGTTATAAGGCAATGAACAAAAGAAAATACTGTCGAATTAAGAACCTCGTTATTTTTGAAATCGTTTGAAAACAATGATGTAAATTGTATGTATTTTTTAATAGGTATAAATGAAGTGACAACCTTGCCAGCGCTATTTGTATACGCTAGAGGGGTATCAGTGATAGATGATAGGTCTGTGAAGATGAAAGCAGGCCAGCTAGTCCATCGTGATGAATTCAATAAAAGTTAATCACGATGGTTTCCAGGGGGAACTGCGTGGAGGTCGACCTGATAAAGTATATTTTTTTTATACAACTTAGAATGGCAAACAAACTAACGGCTCATATGATGGAAAGTGGTAACCGTCGCCTATAGATATGAGCAGTACCATGGACATAACAGAGTATATTGTTTCGCCCATAATACCCCCCATGCGTTGCCATTCCTGAGGACTCAGGTGTTATTCCTCTGTACTCTGTAAATTCACGCCATATCCCATCCTTCAAATCGAAACACAGCCATGCAAACAAAACTGCTTCACGGTAGAAATACGAATGGGACAGAGGTACCCAAGCAATCGACTTTTGTACAAAGTCTCCCTTTGATTTGATTGCTAGCAATGGAGTTGTTAGACCCATTACCAATAATCTCTTCTCCTCAATTATATTGTATGTTGTTCACGTTGGTTTTTTGATGTAGGATGTAGCATATTTCCTAAACTTTGTCTCAAGTATAAGGAAGTCTTTGTCAGCCTAAAATAATATGGAATTGGGAATATTATGATAGAAGTACGTGGAATTCTGTTATTTCTCACCACTTCAAAAAACGATAATGTTATTACAATCGTCATCTTTATCATCATCATCTTATGAGCCTTTAACTATCAATTGCTTAATATAAGCTTCCCTCTTAGGGGTTTGCCAGTAGCTACCACGCTTGACAGACGAATTGGCAACCGCAGTTAGGCTTTAGAGAGATGTTTTAAGAGAGACGCTGCTGCCCATCTCTCGTTCTCCCTTTGTCGCCTCTTACGATACCCACGAGAAAGGAAAGGATAGCTTATTCTATGGCAGGACCACACGGATTATTTACAATAGATACAGTTAAAATATTTTAATAAATAAGGTGTTATTTTGCGAAGTCCATATAACTAGTTAGTATATAATTAATATACTAATTAGTCATATGGACATTATTATTATTATTATATAATTTGTGGTAGTCGCAAGAAATTAATTTTAGTTGAGATTTACAATGGCGAATGTAATGAATACGCATCGTATCACCCGTGAAACCTCAGCTTTGTTTAAAGTGTGAAAGGGTTCACTCATTAGGAAGATTGCTAGGGCGCGGAGTGAAACCAAACATTGTGTTTTGTGCAACGTGGTCTTTGTCACATTGTCTCTGCCTGCGTAGGAAGATACTGTTGCCAACACTGCGGCCTATTTGTATGCAGCAAGTTTCATATTTTTTCCTATAAAAGAAATGAGGGTTTCACCTAAAGAAGTGCTCTCGGAGTTAAACTTAGCGAGAAACAAATCTCATACCATTACTTAAATTACTTCACATACTAGAAAGTACTAAGCTCTTAATTTTATTTGCATATAGCGCTGTCATAACATGAATTTTTAGTTTATTTGTTAGTTTGTATCTTATGTCATAAACTAAGTTGAGCGATAATTGTTACATGTACATATGTATATGTATTTTATGAGCCTTCCCATGTAAATAACTCGGTAACAATATACTCGAAATATGAGGTATTAAACATTTTAAGAAGATAATTTTCTATAAGTTTTCTTTTTTTGTACATCAGGTCTTGCAGATACTTCAATTTATTTTAGGCAATTTACTTGATTATGATGGTCGTTACCTTTTGGTGTAGACCACAAATGCATTTGTTTAATTATATTTGTGATATCTATTTTAGTACGCATATATTTTTATGATCTCTGAAAAAAATATTCTGTATAAAAAAAAACAGAATACATCTGCTCAGTTATATTCTGATTTTTTTTAGATGAATATTGCAGATTTTTTACACTTTATTTCGCTATATGTCTGTATTGCTTTGAAGATTTATATTTTGAATTGTAACAGGATATAACTAAATATTTATAAGAATAAGAAACCATATATCACTGTAGAGATAGTATATTATTTAAATATATAGATTTAATTAATTAGTACTTTATTCATTGGTTTCCAAGAACAATAGTTACAAAGTGACTGTACTTCCGTGGTTTTTGTCCAATTCTTCTTGAAATGTCGCCCGGAATTTCAACCGATGTATTATTTTAAATTGCTAGACTCAAGTGTATTGTTTTAAGTTACAGTATGTATAACAGATGTCGATTGTCTGGTTCAGTATCATATCAGCTATCTCATCTACTTTATATTTTACTCGACAAAAAGTATATTTTTTAATATCATGTCATTTGTATAGAATATTTGTTCAACTATAGCTATATGTACAGTCTTTAATTAAATCATTGTAATATAGTCTGTTCATTACTATCTATAACATATTGTCGAATACAATCTGTAGGTATAAATGCTTTGAGATTTGGTCATGTTTTAATTTTGCACAAGCCGAGTGTCTGGCGTCGATATTTAAGTGGAGTCAAAGTCTCGAACCAAGTTAAGATGGCATCAAGCAGGAAGTAGAGTAGGAAAACGTTCGAGCGTCACTCAAGGTCGACTACGCCGAACAGCGAGCTCCTTCCACCACGTATGCCATTACGCGGTATGTCGCTTCGCATCAACTATCTATTGTTTTTCGATTCGAAACGTTTTGGTTAATCTGAAAACATGTTTAGAATAGACATGGTCGTTGCCTACTTATAAATTTTACTTCCTGAATATATTATTTTGAAACTATGTATATACTTACTATTTTGCTTTGTAATATGCAAAATATCCTAAGATTTTTTTTGGGTTTCAAATATATTTACGTAGGTAGGCTAGACGGTGTAATTTTGCCACGATTTGTTGTGCCTACTTATTCTAAGATTTAATTTTAAATACTGTCTTTACTTAGTACTTTTTGTATAAATTGATGAAAAGAAAGCAAATATAATAAATAGACCCGTGTATTAACTTCATTATGAGGCTTGCCATAATAAATTTTTTCTAAAGTTTAACTTTACACATCTGATCTCGAAGATATGATTTTTTATTCGGTTATTTTTTGCAATGATCAATTACAAAGTCCAGCCCACTTATGAAGCGTACTTTGCATTACGTGTATTATAGGATCCCGTCGCGGATATTTGCGCTATTAATAACATAGTTCGAATAATAAGCATGCAATCCGCATACTTATTTCATTCAACTGCAGGTAACGTCTTGGGGATCAACAATAGACCCGAATTTCGTCCAGCTAAAATATTAACTTTCGCACAATAGGAAACATTATATTTCCAAGTATAGAGCACTTCTTCACTTCCGAACAATAGATTGAATGGAAAACGAAGTGGTAAACAGTGATTCCTTTGCAGAAAGAAGTTTCGTTATATGTGGCCATAGAGCTTTTTGTGTCAGATACACCAAGTTTTCACTTATTGTGTACAACTTGGATCTATGTTATATTCATATTGATTATCTATTCATATTGATTAAATTTATATATTATTTAATTTGTTTATATATTAGAATATTGTGCATTGAGGAATAATATTATTTATACTTTTTATGATCATACCTAATCAACAGGTACTGATATGAGTCAATTAAATGACTGCAGTAAACTATCTTTGTTTTACGTTTTTAGCAGCAACGTGACTTTAGTTTTTGAATATGGAATGCAAGATACTTATCCAGTATAGTTTCTACAAAAAGAGTTAAAATTATCCTTATATTATAGCTGTAATAGCATTCCTCAAATTTGCAAAAATAGGTAGCATGTTGTGGATGTTTAATGTTATCAGTACTTCGAACAAGTTCCGTTTACAAATGACATTTTCTTTATCTTGATCTTCAGTCGAATTGTTTCTGAGATAATTTTATACTTATCTATGTTTCATATTAGATTTTTCATACCTACTCAAAAGTCCCTTTACGTACACAAACACAAAATTTTATAATAGTAAATACATTACCGTGTGGCCTCGGCGAAAAGTGGGTTACTTCTTTCTTTCCAGTGAGTATCGTAGGAGGCAACAGAGGAGGATAGGAAGCAGCGTCCCTTTTAAAACATTAACAAAACCGAACTGCAGTGCTAACCCGCCTGCCAAACGTGACGACTACTGGAAAAACATCCCCGTACAGTTTACGACAGTAGAGGACAGTTTACGGCTGATATAATAATACATTAAAATATAACAAATACATTGTATTGTACATTGAATTAAAATTGAAAGCAAAAATTAATATCAGACCATCAGCAGTGAGTACTATCTATTAGATTAGATAGATAAAAAAAAAATTAACTAGTTTTATCCGTGACTTTGGCTGCGTAACCGGAACATGTCCACTGACCAGGTTAAAAAGTAGCCTATCTTTTTCAATCCCTTATAATAAGTTTATATCAAATTTCATGGCGATTGGTTAAACCGTTAAGACGCTAAGAGGTAACAAACAAACTTACTTTACACTATTTATAATATTAGTAAGGATGTCGGCTTTACTTCTATTCATAAAGGCTGGTGTCATACCTATATAGGTATACCTACTACCTACATTATATAACAGTCAAGTTATCTATAAAAAATCATGAATTATATACCTAGTTATTTACTATAATAATAGAAAAAATAATTTCTACGAGGTTACTCTCTAATAATGGATATTCATAGAAAGGGCAAATAAAGACTTAATAGGATATGAAACGTTCACTTCATAGAATCAGGAAAGATGTAAGGAAATAAAAGATTCGAGGTCTTTATTTGAATTATCCGTAGAAACACAAAGGATTGGTACGGGTGAAATAGCTTCTTTAAGCTCTCGAATATTATTTTCTCTTAGACGCCGGCGTTTTCATATTAGTTCTGGTATCTATTATTCTTTACGTTCAGTTTTAAGGCCAATATATATTACGTAAATTTTACCAACTAGTACTGTTTTCATTGCACTTTTAAGGATTTAATACACTGATAAATTTTTAGTCGGTTGTGGGTTCAATTACTGCAGTTTGGATAGTTTATATGTGTTCTCTCGCTCAATTTTTAATTGAATTTATTGACTTACAAGTATAAGTTGATAACTTCTTATTTTATAGTTAGGTATCTGTTTTATCAATAAATGTAATTAAGCAGAAAGATAGAACAGTTTAATATTTAAATTAATGGGTTAATAAACTATTTATTGTACCTGGATTTCATTTAGTTTCTATATCTATGAAGAATGAGTAAGCACATACATTATAATTACTTATATTTATTTGCAGCTAATAACATACCATTGACTTCTTACACGATATTAACACTTATTTAATTGTTTGATTTTATATTCCAAAGCTTCGCGCAACGATTAAAAATATGTACTGTTTCTTGTTAATATATTTTCGATATAGGTTTGTAATCATCAAAATGAAAATATTATTTGTGTTGGATTTATAATCTACATATCATATACAATTTAATATTAAAGACGAATGTGCCCAATACTATTAGGACAATTTTTTTATGGTTTATTATATTTTTTTTTTTGATGACGTTACTTCACATTGTCATCCTCTTATATTTTTTGGCTTTGACGCTAAATTTCAATTAAATCACTTCAATAAATTAGCTATGAATAAGACAACAAGTTGCCGGTGATCCCGGCATAGAATAGGCCACCTTTCTTTCCTGTGGGTGTCGTAAGAAGTGACTAAGGTTTTACCTTAATGGTCGAGGAATGGGCAGTAGCGTCTCACTTAAAACATTTACCTTAATGGTCGAGGAATGGGCAGTAGCGTCCCACTTAAAACATCTTCAACAGCTAACTATGGTTACCAACCCGCCTGCCAAGCATGGCAACTACTGGCAAAATCTCCCAATAGAGGGGGACCTGTGTTCTGCAGTGGACTATTAATGGCTGATATGGTGTATAGTAACAAATAGACACACATGTACATTGTACAACCCATTTTGTAATTGGTTTCATAATGAAATATAATTACTTAATCATAACCTGGACCGTTAAAACATAAATACGACGATGATCAGATAAAACCATAAGTGCCTCTGCGTTCTCTTGCCGACGTATTGTCTGCTCGCTCCATCACATCCCAAAGGATTTGATCGTTATAATTCCGGCGAGCATTTCCATAAAAATTATTCCCGATTGTTATCTACGTGAACAGGTCGGATTTTTTTCTTAAATGCATCATTTATTATCTTTAAGGGCACAAAAAATGTTTGGGTCTTTAAAGCGCCGCGGTGTCCCTTCTAGGAAGCGCGCTTGGATTTATTTGACACTCATCTGTGAGATATAGAGCGGGCACGCCAGTAGACAAGGTGGTTCGACGAATCCGATTCCGTTCTTGTGGCCAGCGGGCCGTGTGGACAATAAGGTGTGAATGTACATTTTTACAGGTTTCGCATAGTGCGATTGTAGATATGGCGCCAATAAAGATATTGTTGCTGATATCTGATAACACTGTTTCGGCATATTGGTTGATTTGGCATTTGTTTTGTCGTGATGAATTGCATAAAATAAGAAAAAATTAGTACATAATCAGTAAGTTGATTAGTCGTTTCTTATTATGTTATCAATATTAATAACAGTGTGGTGTGGTTAATAACAGTATTGCGAAAATAATTATATATTTTATTTTATTTTTATTTAGTTTGTCAGATTTCAAAGTTATTCATTTACATATGAAAGAATCTCTTGGCAATAAAAGTATGTATATTTTACAGTGTTGTTATTTAGGTATATCTAAAGTTTAATTATACCCCATTAGCTGACGTTGATTTCTTTCTTTCTCTTACATCATGATCATCATCAATTGATTACTGGAATATTTTTATTATAAGAAAAGTACCTATTATTGCTAGCAAAAACTTACTTCTTTGTTAACACAAAATATATTGTAAAAGGGTTAATTTTATATGGATTTTATAAGTGAGCATTTCTATAGAGCTGTTTAAATTTTTACGAACTAGAAAATAAGAATCAAGCTTATCTTTTTATGAGTATTTTTTATCGGTCACGCTTTAAGGCTGTATTGATAATAACAAATATTGTTCAGGATACCGTACATAACTGTATTCTTTATCTAGGATTACTTTTCTTGCAGGTATAAACATGATTGAAAGGGTTTCGTGCGGTAATCCTCCATTTTTCGCTGAGCATGAGCATAAAGTATCGTTGAGCATGATGCCGGCCCTGATAATATTATCAGTTTACGGGTGCTTAACGTATAACCGTCGTGCAATTTCCCACAGAGCCTTAAAAGCAAATACCTTCCTTTGAATCAAGACACAATAGCAGGGCAAGAGTCAGGTAAAGCGTTTCGCGCCGCGGGGTTTCATCGTTGAAGTTTTATATTTCCGCTTCTTTGTCGAGAGTTTGGGCCCAATTAATAATTTCTCTGGATGACCGAAGTCATTGTTAATGCACCCCTCCACACTCCTCCACTATACAAACGGTGAAGATTGATGAACTTCTTGCAATTGTCACATTTTTACGTTTATAGACTGCGTTTTTCGCTGTTCTGAATGGCGTTAGGAGTTATTCTTTGTCACTTCAGGTTTGGCCAAAACATTTAGTGTATTGTTGATGTCATATTAGTATCAGTTCTTTATACACTACAATGTAATAGATAAACGTAGAACGCGTCTGATGATAAACGGTTACCGTAGCTTATAAGCTTATATATTTTTGCAACATAATCCTTCTTAGATGAAGTAGAAATGAATCAATTGATAGAATCGATATCGCTAGCAAGTTCTTGAAACAGAATGGGATAACGACACATGTTGTCTTGTTTTATCTCATGTGAGTGCTGATTGAAATCCGTCTATGAGTACTCGTAGATTCGTTTGTAAGGTACAAAGGAATCTACGAGTCTAAGGGGCAGAAGAGTCACGTGCATGTTGTCGACCCTTAAGAATCTTTAATAAATTTTTTTGAGAAACCTTATACTAATATAAGAATACATACAGAACTAGTGATTGTATATGTGTACAAGTGTAAATAAAGAGTTTCTGGCGTTTAGATAAGGTGTTATAATTACATATTTTTGTGTTTATTTATATTACAAATTCACGTTTTGCGTTTGACGTCAATAGTCGATTCACTATAATAGATAATGTCACTAGATATAATGGTTATTAATGTTGTTGCTCATTTGAAGCGATTTAAAAAATAGATTACGGTTGTTAATAGAAGTATTTCTGATGGAATGAATTGCAGTATGTCTTTAGGGAGTATGATCCTTTTTATGCCACTGATTGTTTGATTATAATTATTTTGTTTAATTCCGGTACTATTAGTATCTGTTTGACTGATAACACTTGAAGATTGACCAACAGAAGTTCCATGACCTTCCATATTAACTATCAATTTACGAAACAAACTACAAAAAAATGAACGCGTAACACAAGGCTCTGAGCAGCGATCTAATAATTTGCCTGAAAATGCTCGTTTAGAGGTGAATCACGTGTCGCAGAACGTGCGTGGATGAAGTGGCAGTCAATATAATTTTCTTATTTCAACAATTTCTTTTCCACATACAATTTGGGAGCGATTGTTTGTTTTTTTTTATTCTTTATTTATTTTGCTACATTGATTCCACTTATTTACTTTTATTTTTCTTTCTACTGTTTTTTGTGTACAAGTAAATACAAAGACAAGTAGTTTAATCTATTTATCTTTGTATTTACTTATTAAATTTTTCTTTTCTCAATGTCCTCTACCAAAGGTTGTTTGAAAGAGATTGCTTAGCGATAAGCCCGCCTTTTATATCATTTCTCGTTAAAATTAACTATATATATATATACTTTTTTATAAATTATTATTCATTAGTAGGCAACGAGGCTCATATTAATCGATTAAATTTGATGACGATGTTTTTAAATTAGTGGATGTAGGCAATATCGGTACAGGAACCTAATATATGTCTATACATATTATATGTCTATACATATTATATGTCTATAGATATTCTAATATCTATGATATTGGAATATCTATACATATATTGGATTCCTCTGGACATTGATGTTGAAAATAAAAGGCAAGACCTATTTTGATATCGTCCATACCAGTCCATATCATATATTCAGTTAGATTTTGTTTTTCATTTTGATATAATAAATTGATGTACAATGAATCCGTTATTGGGTCAATATATAGATATTATAACATGTAAGTGCCTATTGTAATATATTATCCACCTTTAATAAGAAGAGAAGGAATGATAGTTTTTTATACAAATATTATAAAGAGGAAAATTTTGATTGTTTGTTTGTAATGGTATCAAAAACTACTTAACCGAGTTTAAAAAAAATTTTTTTTTAATTCTTTTAAAATATAATATTATCAGCAAGTAACATAGACTATATATTATTGTCGAAAATTGTATCAATATGTTCATTTGATCGATATCAAATGAACATATTGATACAATTTTAAATTTTTTTGTTCCAACATCGGGGAATATATATATATATCGGGGAAAATAGTATGTAATTATTTTTAAGCATACTACATATTGAATTTAGAATACATTAGGTAAATTATTACAAGATAATTATAATGATTATCTACTTATAAGTAGAAATGATATCAAACGAAAATGACTTCTATTTTTTAATTATAACACTGCCAAAGAATAGTATTACTAATACTTATACCATTACTAGACTTTGTTTAAATTAAACTGTGACGCGAATAAATTTTGAAATGCAATCCATTTCAGATAAATACAAATATTATTTTAGGCTGCGGTAGTGTAATATGCATATAAATAAATAAACTTTCTTCTGACAGTAATCACAAGTTCATCAACACAAGATTTTGTTCATGAACTTGACTAAGCATTTAAGGAGCCGTACTCACGAATACAAAGATAAGTAGATAAGTTTTATCTATAACAGTAATATGTGGATGCATAATTAATGTGTAGGTACTATTAGGTATTATTTAGATATCGAAGATATTATAAAGGAAAACTATCATTTTTCTTTACACTAAGTAGTATCTATTAATGACATATTGGTCTAATTTTTATGTCGCAATTGCTTATTTATTCATTTTTAGTGCTCTGTGTATATTTTGTTGCAACCAATTTTTTATTTGTATTAAAAGATCTAAGGGAAAAGGTTACTTTTTCAGGGAGAAAACATTAATTGTTTTGATGTTTGAATTTTTTTCTTTTTCAGACACATTAGTGACATGCGATAAAATTCAATAAGAAATCAAAGTAATCATCATCAGTAGGAGCAAACCATTCAATAAGGATTTTTATATTAACTGTGAGGTAAGTACTTTTACGTATTTAGCGGTATTATGTAGGTACTATTGATATATTATTAAGTCAAGGTTACAATTTTGACAGGTACGATTATAAAAAAATCGGCGTTTAGCTTCTTAACAGCTCATCTCGTGGCATGTTACTATAGATCAGAGAATACGCTGTGCCACACTTGCCACCTCTCTTGCTAGTCATGTACAATAGGGTTACAAAATTGAGAGCTGTTAATCATATTTTTGGTGACTTCATTATATTCCTTTTTTGATAATAAATCATTTTATACATTATCGAAAATATGTATATAATAATAGTTTATTTATTTATCTCACAACTTTTTTGAATACAATAAAACATTTAATATAATACCATAGATACATCAAAGTTGTAGAGAACTGGTGCCTGAACTGGTATATGTAATATATTTATAAAATAGTCTGTTATTAAATGTAAAAATAATATAATTTTCGATAAAATTCATTTTATCTTTTTGTCTATAAAGATAATGTCAAATCGTAATTATATACAAGGAGCTTTATAATTACTTTCCTGTGTGTAGTCACGTGTAAATAATAAATCTTTTAAAAACATTATTATCAACTGATAATTTCAAATTTCATAAAATTTAATATAATTTTTAAGTCGACATGTGTACAGAAAAATTATGTAATAAATTATTTAATAAACATAAACGTGCAAAGATTATGATATCTACTTTAAAATATATCTTCATATTAGCAATTTTCTAAATTAGACTTGCTTCTTTGTGATATGAAAATATTTCTATACATTTTTTAATCTATTACATTATAATATAAAATACACATGACTTACACTATATCTCCTATTTATAATCTCATCATATGCAATATATATCTGATTAGATAAGTAATAAATGAATTTGTTAAATGAAAGACATGTTATTACTGCCATATATATGAAAGAAAGAGATAGCAATGACTCAGGTATTGTTTCTTCTTATGTGCATTATAATAAAACAATCAACTGATAGATTTGTTTGCTACTTCTTGATTGGAAGACCCTTAGGCCTTCCTATCTATCATTCAATTAACCTTCTTAAGGAAGGAAGAGGATCAATTTAACACATACAAATATATATATATATATATTTGTATTTAACACATACATTATATATATATATATATATATATATATATATATATATATATATATATATATATATATATATATATATATATGTTACTGTAAATGTCCGTATATTTGCAAAATTTAGGATTACTAACGTGGATTGGTAAGGATTTAAAAAAAGATCATTTTTGGAGCTTTCAACAAACCAAACCTAATGTAACCTATCTTTTTGACTACGAGTACAAACACCACGCACTAAATATGTCAAAATGTTATGTCTGTTACTATAAAAACCCGAATTACGGAAATTTATTTTTTTCTATATTTACATCAAAAACAAGGTAAAAGTCAAAGTATATATTAAAGGAATAAGATTTTAAATTATAACTTTACTTTGTCTTTCTGTTCGTCGACTTGTCTGCGCATTGCGCCTTGTTATTTCCTGTTCGCGAAATTAAATTCAAATGTATGCATACTTTTTGTTGACCAGTTTACGACTGGTGTTCGGCCAACGTTATCCGTGTATTATATGTACTCATCGTCTTATGGTATCATACAAATAATATTACAGATTTTCTACGTGAGTATAATATACTATAATTATTATCAACGTAAATAGGTACGAGTATGTGTGTGTTTCCTGCTTATTTAACTGGTTATACTGTCACGTCCGAAATTCCATATTTATATTACTTCGCATATTAACTGACATATCAAATAGGTCATGGTTGTTATTGTATGCGTAAGCACCATTGTAGATATATAAAATAAGATACATTTAGGAGTAGATAAGTATTATAATATAGAGTCATAATTCTTTTAGAGTATGTCTAAAATATTTTTCCTCTGCAATGAATACAGGAGTGTTTATTTGTTTTCAAATGAAACAAAAACAGGTTCGATAAATGTTTCCATTGCTATCTGTACTATAAAATTATACTGTACCTATAAAATTATACTTAGGAACTGTTTATAAAATAATCTCAGGTATATGCTTACCTATGATTAATTAGGGATATATTATTGTGTCGTTAGCATGCAGAATCAATGAATTAACTTATTTTTATTAGCTAAGAACAAGGTAGTCCAATGTTTGGGTATTAGCGTACCTCAAATTTAGATGACATCACACTCTATATCTATATTAGGATTTCAAATAAGTGGATATTAGAATGTCACAAGTAACTCGACTTGAAGTTTTTGACAGTGTATAACCGCCATAATTATTTTATACTGTCGTTATCTATTTTAATTTCTAAGAAGAATCTAATGAAGTTATTTTTTATAAAAATCCAGCAAATCCGTTTAGATTACTTTACGTCAAATATCTGGACATACATATATACCTATATATACCCAAACTACTACACTTCTTTCTTCGATAGAAGAGCAATTATCAATGTAATCGTTCTAACTGTTTCATAAAGTGATACGTAATGAACAGACAAATTGCTGTCCGATTTATGATGTCACAATTTGAAACGATTATAATTACTTTGATATTTCTACATTAATCTAATAAAATGGTGCAATACTACTATGAATATACTTAAATGTGTGATACATAAATTATTCGTAGTTTTATCTTTTGACTAGTGTAGTGTAGGTTTGTACGAGTAGGCACTTATCAGTTAATGATATTCTATTAAATTGTTAATAATTTTTCGTAGGTAATTATTATTATGGATTAAGAGATCAAGCATTACAAGTAGATAATTATAATATACTTTTTATTTTATGGTGTTGTCGGAAACATGCATTTGTCATAACTGTATATGGTATACAAAAGATAAAGCTAACGTTTTTCTGTTGGATTACGATGGCGAATCAGTCATTTGTAAAATGAAGCACAAATGGAAAAAATCAAATTATTTTAAACTTTATATTTAAAATGTTAACAATCTGCATCAGTATAAATACATTATCATATATTCAGCTTTATCTAGGTTACTACTAAGTCTATGGTTATTACGTAATTTATGTGGTTGAACACAATGAGAATTGATAAAGCTTTTTATATGCCAAGTGGAGGCATGAAAATCCGTAACTGAACTATCTTTATCTTTGACATTTCGCTGATAAGCTTTTATTTATCATTCCTAACGAGATTTGGACTGGGTTTTCCAAAATCCTTTATTGATATCATATATAATACATGTTATAATATATCCATTAATCTGTTTCAAAATAATGTAATTATGGTATTAAGCAATTGATAACAATACTGTTTTTGTGCATACCATTAATTCATTTTTATTTTAGTTGAGGAATTTTGTTTAGTGACTGAAGCCATGTTGCTGCAAGTAATTCGAAAGATTCAAAAATCATTTTTACCAATATTCGTAGCAGAAACTTACTTATACCTAATTCATTAATAGATTTGCTGAATATACTTTTTCTGTTAAACTTTGTATTTTCTATATACCCAATAAGTCATTATCGTCCCCCTACTGGTTACAATACGGGTCTCTCCCTAAAAGAGGAGAATATATATTTTTTACATTTTGTTAATTTATGTATGTTAGTTTATCTATAATAAATATCTCTTAAGGGATTTTTTTTTAATAAAAATATTGTTTGAATGTTGTTAACTCTTTACGTCTTCGCGATGTTCCGCAACCCCTTTGTGTAAGCCTCTAGGTTTGGGGACCCACGAGAAGTCCATTAGATGTAGTAGGTACTATGTAGACGAAAGTACCTAGCTGGTCCACCAGTCCGCGACAATTTACGGTGAGCGAGGCTTCCACCCCGCTTGTTAAGTGTCACCCACGTCTAGCGGTCCCACTTACACTCTACTTGTATTTATAATTGCACTTTTGACGCATCGACCGATGCAGTTATCTGAACTAGAATGTAGTGATTATTGTTGTATGACATGTTCCTGAAATCATCCAAGTATGCTACATACTACCTACACGTATTTCTGAATTTTATTATGAATCTTCTGTTTATTTCTCATTACTTTGCGTCAGCACCATACGTTAAATCTATTGGCACATAATACATTTATTAAAATAATATATAAATAAAAAGTAGTGAGTGAAATTGGTGATTTTAACAAAAAAGGCAAAACAATAATAAAATTGTAATGCAAACGCTTACAACATGTTGGTGTTACATGGTGATGTTGTGGAGAGAATCCCGTGATAGGTAATATTGTTTAAAATATAATTAATATGGGTACTCTTAGACTAAATACTATGATTTAAAAAAAAATGTTTAAATAATATGAATTTAATTTTATCTTTTCTATAAGAATGAATTCGATATGGGGGTATAGGGTATACTTATACCTTATACGTTTTATAAGTAGGTATACAACATGTCGACAGTTAAGTTTCCTTTTTTTTACCTCCCCACTCCTACTTTTATCCGTATGGTAAAAATGAAAATGTTTGTTCTGTTCATACGTGTCGGGTTTTGTAATAATTTAAGATTTGTAAAATTTAAAATGGAACAACACGAAAGAATCTTTTCTCTTGAATCAAATTCAAAATTAATTCGGGAGGAATTAAAATAAACATTGTGAATTTACATATTTTATTATACAAAAAATGTTTGAAGTATTAGGTGTTGATTTAAAAATATATGTATAAACCGATGCCCGCCTTGTGAAATAAAATAAATCAATGATTATTGCGTTAATTTGTTTTCTTTTTTCGTGCCTTCAGCAATTAGCACACATGTCAGCAGATGTAATTCGGTGTCAGCGTTCACCGTTTGCGAATGTGACAGTGTTTTTCTATGTGCATTTGTTTGAGCGTGGCGCCGACGACGGAGCGGGCGCGTCTCGTATCCGGGTCATGCGCGTCACGTAACGGGCTCGGCGATAACGGGGAGGCCCGGGCTAGGTCGCGCAGCGGGATGAGCATGCGGAAGCGGGACCATGCCGCGCGACTAGCCTACGGTTGCAATCCAGGTGCGCGTTGGGCTTCTGTCACTATGAGTTTATATATCAAGAACTATACTCACTTTGCTTTCATGTGTATCATGAGAACATCGATTACTGTCTGTGTTTCGTCTGTAAACATAAGAGTGAAATGACTCATCTTCGAATGTGTACATTCGCAAACTATTGCAAAAATTGCTGGCCCAATTTCGACTTTATTACAAGAAACTGGTTATGTAAACTACTATATCATATGCATAGATGATGACCTGATTGCAACAAATATACATATATCTATGCATATAACAAATATGCACAGATATATGTATATTTGTTACATATACCTTGATATTTATACCAGTCAATCATAATCAAGTTGTAGATAAAACTTCAAGTGATAATTCTTCATTTTAATTTATACTAACGGCGCATTTTGGTTTTACACGGTTTATTTTAATAAAATACAGTTTACAGAAAGAATTTTTAAAGTCAGTTATGTAGCTTTTGACTTTGTCCAATACAAAC